CCAAAAGACCCATCTTAGCAGGATCCTTCAGCCCAGGGGCCTTAAAACATTCTAGAGCAAAAAGAACTTAATGCCAGGCATGGTAGTACATGCCTGTGACCCTAGCACTTGGAAGGTGGAAACAGGAAAAGACTACTATACTTCTGGGGGCTAACGGTGTCACAAGGTGAGTTCCAGATCAGCCTGGACTAGAGTATGAGACTGTTTTTTTAAAAAAAAAATTGAAAATAGAGGAATAGTGGTGTACACCTTTAATCCCAGCAGCTAGGAGGCAGAAGCAGGTGGATCACTGTGGGCTCAAGGCCAACCTGGTCTAAAAAGTGAGACTGTATCTAAAAAAACATTAATTTAAAACATGTATATGTAAATATACATAAAAAATTCAGTACCTAAAAGCCACAGTCAATCAAAGAGAACATAAATGGCAATACTATTCATTATCAGTTTAGTGCTAAGAACTAACCCCCAGGACCTTATTCATGCTAGGCAATTGCTTTATACCTGACTACAACCACAAGCCTCTCCTGGCTTTTTTTTTTTTTTTTTTTTTTTTGGAGACAAGGTCTAACAATGGAACCCAGGGTGACCATAACTCAAACCTTGTCCTGCCTCAGACTCTTGAGTGCCTAAGAACACAGGTGCCATCTAATTTAGCCTAAATCCACACTTCAACATCCCAGTGCATCCTTGAATCAATCTTTATGGATTTTTTTGTTTTTTGTTTTGTTTTTGTTTGAAACAGGGTCTCACTATATAACCCAGGCTGTCCTAGAACTCTATGTAGAGTAGCCTAGCCTCAAAGTCTGAGCTATTCCTCTTTCCACAAGAGACTGCCAACAACATGCAACAGGGAGAAGGGGATCGTGTGAGTGTGTGTGTAACCCAATGCTAGGTGAGGCACTGGAGCCCACTGCCCTGCCAGTGAGTGTGTGTGTAACCCAATGCTAGGTGAGGCACTGGAGCCCACTGCCCTGCCAGTCTAGCCGCTTAATGAGCTTCAGACTCAGAAAGAGACCACATCTCAAAATTTCAGATGGAGCCAGGCAGTGGTAGCATACACCTTTAGTCCCAGCACTCAGCAGAGGCAGAGGCAGGTGGGTCTCTGTGAGTTCAAGGCCAGCCTGATCTACAGAGCAAGTGCTAGGACAAGCTTCAAAGCCTACACAGAGAAACACTGTCACAGAAAAAAAAGAAAAAAATCTGGACAATGAATGACATGGCTCAGTGGGTAAAGGGGATTGCTTGCTAGGTACATCTGATGTCCAGATCTTGATTCCCCAGGACCCACATAAATGAGGGGCTTCACAAAAATGATGTTCTCTGACCTCCACAAGTGCACTGCAGCGTACACTTAGATACACAGACACACACAGACACAATAATGTCCACAGCAAAGCAAAGATTATCACTGGCACACACCACAGCATCATACATGGAACACTTCCTGGAATGGAGAAGTGGTGTGTGAGAGGCAGAGGGGGAGGGGATAGGAGGAAATCAACATCCCTCCTTCACTCACTTCCTGGATCATAGAAACAGCTGCAAGTGGAATTTGCCCACTAGACAGATGAGCAAGCTGAGGCCCCCAGAGCTGTCTGGAAAGCTCTCCAACCGGGAAGCCTTAGCTTAGAAGCCAGCCAGTAGGTTCTAGGATCCTGGGCCAGAAAAGAATCCTAAAGAATGTTTCTTCCCAAGCCCCCCACCTTCTGTCACTCAGAGAAGACAGAATAGGCAGAGCTGCCTGGGCGGTGAACAGCAGGGCAGACTAATGGACTGGATTCACTTGGAACACAGGAGCCAATGGCCCAAGAAAACCAAACAACAGAGGCCCCTAAAGTTCAGGCATTCAGATGGCAAGACCAACTCTAGTAAGCAAGGGGCACCGGTGGGCATTTGCACACCAAAGATCACCCTAGACAGCTAGTCAGACAACAGTGGACTTCAGGGTGGGTCTGGACAGATGGGACAACCAAATGGTGTCGGTAGGAAACCTATCGAGAACGTATAAACAGCTAACCAGACGGTAGAGAAGGCTCCAGATAAATAACCAGCCTGACAGACCCAAGGGTCATCCCCCTTGGGGTGGCTGGGTGATAAATGTAGCTTCAGCAGGTAGCAGGAGAAAAGAGGAGTGGATCTATCCCGGATCGTAGGCAAAGCGATGTCAGAGTTCACCAGTGATAGCTGGGACTAAGTGCACCAAGAGTCTGCATTGCCCGTCTTGCCCCAAACCTCACCCACTACCACCGACCAGTTCCGGACCTAGGTCTGCATCTCCAGCCCCTGAGGAAAGTCATGGACACTCATGCCCCAGACCTTACCCACTGCCACAGGTCCTGCGACGTCCGCGAGCCGCAGTTCCGCCATTCCCCGCCCGCCCTCCTCGCCCTAGGCCGCCGCCCGCCCTCCCCGCGGGAGCCTGGGAACCGCCGCCGCAGCGCTCGCTCACCGGCCCACGAAGTTCTCGAGCACCGAACTCTTGCCGGCGCTCTGGCCGCCCACCACGGCGATCTGCGGCAGGTCCAGGTGGCAGCTCTGGCCGATGGAACTGAAGGCGTCCTGCAGCTTGTTAACCAGCGGGATGAGCTCTTCCATCCCGCGGTTGCCCATGATGCCCGCCTCCGCCCCGCGGCTCCCCCGGCTACGACACGCGGCTCCGAGGTGTCTATGGCAGTTGCTTCCTCCCGCTTCGCTCCACCAGCCCGCCCGGGCTCTACTTAGCCGCGACGCCCGCTCCCGGCTTGGCCTCACAGTCGCCGCCTCATCCGGTTCTCAGGCGACACCCGACCCCACCGACCTCCCCTCCCGGCCTCTGGGGCGGAGCCCGGAGACCTAATGCTATTTCCAATTGGTTCAGAATGCTGCCACTCAAGAATGCTAGCCAGTGAAAAAGGCACGAGGAAGGGCTAATCTCACAACTTCATTGGGTAGTAGAACTGTCATTAATATGAGAAAGCCAATAGAACTGGAAACCCGGGTGTCACGCCCGGAAGGCGGGGCCTCAGGAAAAGACTCCGGGAGGCCTCTGCTCGCTAGGTTGATCTGGGTTGTCTTATTGGTCTCTGGAAAAGTCAGCCTGCCAATGGAGTAAGGAATCGATCCTTAAACACTAGGTTGTCCGTAAAATTTTCCCATTGGTTGATATAAATATCGCCCCTCCAACCAATAAGAGAGAAGCGAGACAACCTTTTTTCTGTTGTTTCTGAACCAAAGGTTGACCGCAAACTCTAGGTGATGCTTCTGTCTCGGTCTCCCTCCTGTTAGAATTACTGGCTACTAGCGTCTTAGTCCTGATTCTGATTGACAGCTGTGTCTGTCAGTCATAGAAAGTCTTCCCAGCTTTCCTGGCTTTTGTTGTCGGTTTGTGATATTCTTTTTAAGCAAAGGACCGCACCTCATGGTAAGGTTCAGTGATCGTCACGACTGCGTTTTTAGGTGCTAGAGAAAACTTGTATCTTAGGGAGCATCACAGATGCCAGCTCTCAAAAGAGTCCAGTGCCGGTGGAAGATGAGTTTCATAGAAGGTTATGAGTGTGGTGTCTGAATCCACTCGTTCATTCGTGGATATTCCTGGGGTTTGACTCTACAGCCTCATGAAGCTAAGCAAGTGTTTTACCAGTGACTATAACTCTGTTAATTTTTGCTTAAAAAGGTTTGGTTGTTCTTGTTTTTCTATTGTTCCTAGAGAGATGGCTCTAAGCTGGGCGTTGGTGGCACACGCCTTTAATCCCAGCACTCGGAAGGCAAAGGCAGTCGGATCTCTGTGAGTTCAAGGCCAGTCTGGTCTACAGAGCGAGTTCCAGGACAGGCTCCAAAGCAGTACAGAGAAACCCTGTCTCGGGGAGAGAGAGAGATGGCTCTGTGCTTGCTGCCTTTGCAGAGGACCTGGGTTTGGTTCCCAGCACCTGCAGTGACAGCTCACAGCCATCAGTAATTCCAGCCCCAGGAGTCTGACATCCTCCTCTGGCCTCCACTAGGATCAGACACAAATATGATGCACATGCTTACATGCAGGCAAAACATCCTTGTACATAAAAAAATTAATTGTACATAAACCAATCTTTTTAAATTTTACATGAAATATTTAAACGTTTTTAAAGATTTATTTTTATGTGCACCACATAATGTGCCTGGTGCCCGCAGAAGTATCAGATCCCCTAGAACTAGAATTCTGGATGGCTGTGAACCACAATGTAGGTGCTGGGAACCAAACTCAGATCCTCCACAAGAGCGACAAGTGTTTTTAATGGCAAAGCTATCTCTCCAACCCCAAACTTTCATGAATGTGGTATTTTTCCTGAATGTTTCCACTACATTCGTGCATGACCAGAGAAGACCAGAAGAGGTAGTCAGATCACAGGGAACTAGAGTTGCAAGCTACCATGGTGGTGCTGAGAATTGAAAATGCAAGAGCAAGTGTTGTGAACTGCTGAACCACCTCTCCAGCCCCCTTATTTTTAATTATGTGTATGTACGTTGACTTTTATGTGCATGAGATGAGAAGAGGGTATAGGATCCCCTGAAGCAATTGTCAACCTTGACTCAATATTGTCTCTGTAGCTGAGGATGGCCTTGAATTTCAATCCACCTGCATCTGAAATGTTGGGATTACAGGCACCAGTCATTACACCCAATTTATTAGCTACAAAGAACTCTTTCATAAGCCATGGCCCCAGCCACATTTGTTTCCTTTTAGTGTAGTTGTTTACTTGAGTCACAGTCTGTATAGCTCAGGCTGGCCCTTACTATGTATCCCAGGCTGTTGTCCTGGAACTCCCAATCCTCCTGCCCCACCCCTTGAATTTAGACATTATGACCATGCACTGCCATGCCAGACTGGAACTATTATCACTCAGTAGTAATTTGATGCTTGAGTGGGAGTCCAGTGAGGAGGCTGGCACAATCAGTGGAAAGCAGCTGTGGTGGTGTAGGAGTTCTGCTGAAGCTGTGAGAGAAGATAGAGGGAGACCCTTAGCTACGAAAAGAAAAACATCAGAACATTAAAGTCCACTCTCTTTTGCTTTATTTGCCAATGGGAAACACTTTCAGGAACAAGGTAGCATCAATTGACAAGTTATTGTTGACATGACTCAATCCCAGGTCCCAGACACATGGGTACAGTTGGGGCTTGGTGTCGAAGGCTTGATCAGGACTACAAGAGCCTGGAAACACTCACTGTTCACAAAAGGAGTTGGTTGAATAGTATTTTATGGAAACCATTTAAAAAATGTATAGGCTTGGAGATGTGACTCAGTGGGCACAGTGCTTGTCCAGGATGCCTTGGATTTTATCCCCAGCACCACATGAACTAGATACGACAGTGCATACCTGTAGCCAGCCCCAGGACCGCAGAAATAGAGGCAGGATGATGACAAAGATTCAAGGTCATCCTCAAAAATGTAACAAGCTTGAGACCAGCCTGAGCTACCTGAGATCCTCTCTCAAAAAAACCTAACCAAAGTAACAAGTAAAAATAAAATGGTAGCTGGGCAGTGGTGGCACACACCTTTAATCCCAGCACTCAGGAGACAGAGGCAGGTGGATCTCTGTGAGTTTGAGGCCAGCCTGGTCTACAGAGTGAGTTCCAGGATAGCCCAGGGAAACCTTATCTCAAAACCCAAAAAGCCCCCATTTTTTACTGTATTCAACAAGGTGGTTCCTGGTTACCCCAAGGATGCTATGGTTACAGTTTTGTTTTGTTTTGTTAAAAAAAATATCCCACATGGTACCCCTGACTGGCTATGAAAACCAAATTAGCCTTGAACTTGCAGCTATTATCCAACTCCTGCCTTTTTAGAGTTAGGATCACAGCTAAGAGCCATCAGACTCAAACTCTAGTCCCCAGTGCCACCTCCCTGACCTTTCCTGGCTCTGCCTTTCTTTCTGTCATGGGATCACACTGAGCCTCTCCACATATACCCAATCAGTAGACCTACCTTCACTCCCTGTGTTACTTCTACTGAGAAGCAAGACATCCAACTACAGTGAAGCTTGGGGCCAGGGAAAAGACAGACACCAGATCTCAGATGAAAACAAAAATCATTAAGTAACAAAATCTTTTTAAAAGAAAAATCCTTCAGTATCCCCCATAGCCCAACATCCCTCCCAGGCAACCAGGTCATGTGAGAGTGATTCCCACGGAGGCCAGTGCTTCAACGGCCCACGCAGGACAGAAGCTGTGGTCCCCATACATGGTGCGCATGAAGTTTCGCACAAAGTCAGGAAAGCGCTGCTCCAAGATGCTGCTTCGAAGGGCGCTCAGGAGCTGCAGCTGTGGGGGAGGCATCAGCATCAGATTGGGCATAGGCCACCAGTAGTCCCACAAGGCACCAGGTGTGCCAAGCGTCACCCCACATCATAAACCCAAGGCAAAGGAAGACAAGCCATGTTTAAGGGTCCTGTCCATGCCACACCCCTAAATGGGGCACTCCCACAAGGCCCTTATGGCTCAGATTCATTTTACCCCCAAAGGGGGAGCCCCACTTGAGCCACAGACCCACACTACACCCTCAAAAGAAGTCATGCTAGGCTCCCATCACAGCCTCAACCCACTCTGACCTCAGAGCCAAGGCCCTTCCCTTCCCTGGCCCAGGATCCTGAGACACCCCCCCCACCCTATACCAAGCCCAGGCCACCTGATAGGCAATGTTGTGCACAGTGAGATGGTGCAGGGCTGAAGTGTTGCCGCTGTGCAGTAGGGCATGCAGGAAGGCACGACTGTGCCTGCGGATCACATAGTGAGTTAGTGGCTTACATAGCCTGAGGCCCCTTCCCTCTCCAATCCCCACCTTCTAAGACATACTTTCGGCAGGTAGGACAGGGACACTCGGAGTTTATGGGACTGAAGTCCTTGGCATACTGCTTCTTCTTCAACTGCAGGGTCCCAGTGGGCACAAGAGCAGAGCCAAAGCGCTGGGGACAGAGAAGGTCAAGATCATGAGGGGCATGGGCTCCCAGCCCCTCCAGTCCCCTGCCCGGGCCTCACCGCTGTCCGTGTGGGGTATACACAGTCGAACATGTCACATCCAAGAGCCACGCAGACTACCAAGTCGGTGGCATAGCTGGGGTGCAGCCGTGGGAAAGTGAGGAGCAGACAGTCAGCCTCAAGAGGGTTTCCCAGCCTCCCTCTGGATCTCATATGACAACCAAGAATACTGCTTTTGTACTGAGACTGTGGTTAACATAGCCCAGGATAGCCTCTTACTCCCTACATAGCTGAGGAACATTGCTTCTATCAGGAAGTAGCCTAGGTAACCACTTAATAGCTCCCCAGTAACTCTATACCCTTCTTCCCAAAAGGATCCACCAAAAGGGCATGGGAACCCTGGGACCTGCTCCCCACAGCAGGGCTCAGGGCTGTCTCCTCTACCCGGACATACCCAACTCCCATCAGGTATCTTGGCTTGTCCTTAGGCAGCATGGAGGTGCTTAACGCCACCATCTTCCAGAACTGTTCCTTGCTCTCTCCCCCACTCAGACCTCCGATGGCAAAGCCTGGCACATCCCTCTTGGTCATCTCTGAAAGAACAGATGGCCCAGCTTAGGACTTAGAGTTTTGTGACTTTACTAAAGGTCAGAGTGTTACTCATCAAAAGGCGGGATTCCCTTCAGTGCAGCATTCCACTAATCACAAACCGTCTGGATACACCCTGGAATCCCAACCCTTCAGGAGGCCGAAACTGGAAGATCAAGTTTGTCATTAGCCTGGGCTACACAGTGACTCCAAGAACAGTATGAATCACATGTAGAAGGAAGGGAGAGGATAGGAAGATGGTGGCCCAGGGGTTAAGAGCACTGGCTGTTCTCTCAGGGTTACCAGGTTCAGATCTCAGTACCCACATGGCTCACAGCCAACTACAATTCCAATTCTAGATGATCAAACACCCTCTTCTGGTGGTATACATACATGCAGGGAAATACTCCTACACATAAAATAAAAATAACTTTTGCCAAGCATGATGGCACATGCCTTTAATCCCAGGGCAGCCAGGGCTGCTGCTAGGTGAGAGACCCTGTCTCAAAAATTAAATAATTAATTTTTAAAAATTGTAAGAAAGAATGACTAAAAATAGGAAGGAAGAAAGGGGGTGGTGATAATAGTTTCGGCTTTACAACCTCAGTAGTTTAGATGTAGCAGACCCATTATGGGTAAGGGTGTGGCTCAGTGGTAGAGTGCTCGCCCAGCAGGGGCAAGCAAGGCACTTGGCTCCATAATCAGTACATCATCTGAGTTGGGTGATGCATGCCAGTGATTTCAGCACTCAGAAGTAGAGGCAGGAGAACATGTACAAGACCATCTTCTGCCACATGGTGTGGACTTAGCCAGCCTGGGCTACATGAAGGCCTGTCAGAAGTCAACATAATATTCCAACAAAGTATGTGAAAAGGGCCAACAAGATGGTTCAGCAGGCAAAGGCACTTGCTGTCAAGCCTGATGACCTGAGTTCCATCCCCAGAATCTACATGGTAGAGAGAACTAATTCCCAAAAGTTGTCCTCTGGCCTGCGCATGTGCATGCACATGCACACACACACACACACACACACACACACACACACACACACACCAGAGAAATAAACAAATTGGGGGAGGGGGAAGATTCAACCTGAGACCAATATTTGCCTCCATTTCCTAGACCTGCTCTACTGCACACTACTTCAGGGCCTTTGACTCATGCATCTTGCACTTGTAGTTAACAGCCATGGCCAAAGCAACATCCTCTGCCTGGACCACCCACACCTCCACCAGCACCTGACACTACCTTTCAAGCAAGTGGTCCGAAGATCAGCATTCAGTCCACCCTGGATGATGGCAAAGAGGTTCTGCTTGCCCTGATGCTGATGGGCTGCGATGCACCTGTCTAGCCAACGGACTGACCTGCAAGAGGGTCAGGTCACAGAGCCTCTAGTGGCTAGGGAGACAGAAGAGAACCACAGGGCCCAAACCCTTCTCCATGCACAAACAACTCACACATACACTGACCTGTGCATGGCCTCCTCCACTCGAGGGCCTGTCACTGTGCTGCTCACCACGTCATCCAACTGCATGATGATGTCAGAGCCTGAGGGTGACAGGGCACTCTGGTGAGGGACAGGAAGACACAGAGGACCCTTGCAGGTGCCACCACTTCCTTGTCATCATCCTAAAATGGCGGTACAAAAGCTAGGAAACTTTGTACACATAACTCCATAGGCCAGTGAGATTGTTCCATAGGTAAACATGCTTTCTTCCAGGCCTGACTACCCAAGTTCAACCCCTAGGACCCACATGATAGAAGGAGGAGACTGATCCCTACAAATTATCATCATGGATCCCAGGCTGTTCTCCAGATCCCAATCCCCTTGTCTCTACCCCTACTGTGCCCAGTTTTACAGGTAACTATTGCAATTATGCTCCAGAATCTGCGGCTATAGCTCAGCAAGTATACTGATTGTCTAGCATACACAAGGCCACAGTTCTATCCCCAGAACTGCATAAAGTGGGTGTGGAATTCAGACCTGTGATCCCAGAATAAAGAAAGTAGAGGCAAATGAATCAGGAGTTTGAGGTTAGGGACTAGAGGGTTGGTTCCATGGTTAAGAATGCTGACTGCAAGCCAGGCGGTGGTAGAGCACGCTTTTAATCCCAGAACTCAGGAGGCAGAGGCAGGTGGATCTATATGAGTTCTAAGCCAGCCTGGTCTACAGAGCGAGTTCCAGGACAGCTAAGGCTATACAGAGAAACCCTGTCTCAAAAAACAAAAACAAACAAAAGGTTTAGATGCCTGAGGATTTGTCTCAATAGCAGAGTCCTGGCTTGGCATGTGTAAGGATCTAGGTTACATCTCCAGCTTAGATAGATAGAGACAGATTTAGATGGATAGACGGACAAAGTAGATGCAAGGACTAAAGGAGGACTAGATAGACATACTATCCAACCCACAGTCATCTGAGATAAAAGCCAGAATTTAAAAAGTTCATAGATAAGATTGGCTTGTGACCATATCTATGGGACTGTCCTGGTGAATGATCGATGTGAGAGAAACCAGTCTCTGTGAGCTGCACTATCCCTAGGCAAGTGATGCTGGGCTATATAAAAAGGTAGCTCTGGGCTGAGGAGGTGACTTTGTGCTTAAGAGCACCCTGTGTTCTTCCCGAAGACCTAAGCTTGATTCCCAGCACCCAGAAAGCTCATTGCTGTCTATAACTGTATGTCAGGGCCTGCACTCACATGTACACACAAATGCATGATTTAAAATGATAAAAATAAGCTGAGCATGGTGGCCTTTTACCCAGCACTCGGGAGGCAGAAGCAGGTGGATCTTTGAGTTCGAGGTCAGCCTGGTCTACAGAGAAAGTTCCAGAACAGCCAGGACTATTATACAAAGAAAATAAATAATAATAATAATACATCTTAAAGCAAAATAGCTAACTGAGCATGAGCCTACAAGGAAGCCAACCAGCAGTGCTCATCCATGGCTTTTGCTCCTGCCTTGACTTCCCTCAGTGATCAACTGTGACCTGGAAGTCATCCTTTCCTCCTCAACTTGCTCTGATCAGACTCTCTTACCACAGCCACAGAAAGAAAACAAAGACAGATAGATGGATGGCTTTTATCAAAACCAGATCTAGAGGGCAGAAGTCAAGTCCAGGGCTGAGCAACAAAGCTCCATTCTTTCTTCTAAAACAAAACAAGGCAGTGCCATGAATGGTTGAGCATGCCTATATTCCCAGCAGGAGTATACTCTCAGCTGGCTGAACCTCAGTGTACAGGGAGACCCGAGTCTAAAACCAAGACTAGGGTCATGGCTCACTGGTAGAGCCCCTGCCTAGAATCACCCAGTGTTGAACTAAAACTTGTATGATGAAATTAAACCTTTTCCTCCCCAAGTTGCTTTTGGTCATGGTGTTACCACAGCAATAGAAAGCAAACTAGCACAACATACCAAACAGCCTTGTCCTGAAATCAGAAGATACAAGGACCCAAGGGAGCACCATCACATACCTGTGCTGGCTTCACTCAGCACAACAGACAGTTTCCATAAAAAGGCTCTAGACAGAGACCATGTCCAGCACCTGCCAGATCCTGGTTTCCACCCCCAAACCACATACAAACCCCGGGCAGAACTTACTACTTGTATGTGGGAGGAGTTGGAGCTCATGTGCCAAGGCTCCAACATCATGTAAAATCTACACTGTAGATGCAACTCCACAAGCAGAGTGCTTATGAAGTGTGCAAAGAGCCCTGGGTCTGATCTCCAGCTTAGTATGACTGGGCATGGTGAATCTGGCTGCAATCCCACCACTCTGGATGTGGACGGAAGAAGATGAAGAGTTCAAAGTCAACCTCAGTTAAAGAGGGAGTGAGTTCCAGGCCAGCCTAGACTATGTAGAACTCTGTCTCAAACAATAAGACAAAATAAAATAAATTATATAGATGGGGGGAGGCCTAAAGCATCCCTAGCTCATGTTGTTGCCACCATTATTTCATTAAATTCAATTTGTTACCAAGAACAGTAATAGCTGGGTGCATGGCACCTGTCTTTGATCCCAGCACTCCAGAGGCAGAAACAGGCAGATCTCTGAGTATTTGAGGCCAGCCTGGTCTACAAATCTACATAACAAGTTCCAGGCCAGTCAAGGTTACATAGTGAGATCCTGCCCAAAATAATAAAAAATAATAAAGTAATAACAATATACATACATATAAAACAAAAACAAATAAAAAAGAACTACATATCTAGCACTTTGTTTATACTACCAATATCAAGAGTCAGACACAGAACCCAGTTCTTACTGAATAACCCAAGCAGGCCTGGAACCCGCAACAATCTTCCCGCTAAGCAACCACCACATGCATTTTTTTTTTTTTTTTAATGTGTTTGTTTTGTTCTGTTCTGTTTGCTGGCTGGGGGTCTAGCCCAGGACATCAGCAAACCACACTAATAACATGCCCAACACTGGACCTAGTCTTTATCTTTATCTTTATTTTAGTTGGTGAGTCCAAATTCATAGGTTTCCCAAACCACACGCGGCCCTGAAGCTTACAGGCAAGGTGAAGGGGGCTATGTCCCAGGGTTCTCTTACCCAAGGCGTTCTGGATCTGCACAGACCTCTCTGGGCTCAAAAGTGTCTCTTCGCCATCGTAGGGCGAGCGGAAGCGAACACCCTCCTCAGTCACTTCGGACAGGGAGAACAGGGACACCATCTGGAAACCGCCGCTATCCTGGTGGGGGACCCCGCCGCGGAGCTGTCAGGAGATGGCGACTCCCCTCTCATCCCTACACAATGCCCTAGGGCGGCGGCCCCAACTCACCGTGAGAAGATTGTGGGGCCAATTCATGAAGCCATGAAGACCCCGGGCTTTCTGGATCAGCTCCGGGCCCTGGGATGCCGGAAGAAAGTGTCAAGTTAGGCTCGCCAGGCCCGGGTGAGCCCAAGCGCGCTGAGCGTCAGGAGGCCGACTTCGGCGGGGAGTCCCGGCCTGGCTGTCCCCTCTCCTCCCGTCCCCGGATCGAACCCACCCACCGGCCTCAGCCCCAGGTGGTAGGTGTTGCCCAAGCAGATGCGGCAACCCAGGCTGTCCAGCTGCTCCGCCGTAATCCCCTTCATGGTGGCCTGTGTTCCCACAGGCATGAACACAGGGGTGGCCACAGTTCCATGCGGCAGCCGCAGCTCGCCCGCCCGGGCTCTGGAACGACTGCACTCAGCCACCAGCCGCATGATTCGTGGAGCGGACTCCAGCGAAGCCGGGGTGCCTGCCACCGCCATTTTCGGTCCCGGAACCACGTGGGTTGAAACCATAGTGGGCAGCGCCATGTTGCCTCGAATCACGTGATTTGAGAGCGACAGGGAACTATGGCAACCGACGCACCGCTTCACTCTTGGATGCCCTACTTCAGATCCCATTGCTGTCATTTTCGCTCAATACTGAAAACCGCTCTAAGGCCCTTTGCCATAGCTCGGTGAGTGAAGAAACATGCTGCTAAGCCCGAAGACGTGAGTTCAATCTGTGGGATTCACAAGAATGGGAACCGATTCCTTCAAATTCGCATGGGTAGATACACAATAAATGTAATTTTAAAACACTCCACTGTATAAAATATAGATCCTCGATACAATGATTTACCAGGAATCCCAAGAACGAAACAGCTTAGCAAAAAGGATTGTGTGGAGTCAGAGAATAGAACCAGCACTGCACAGTGAGCTTCCTGCCAGTTGGGCTGCTGAGAGAGCCAGTCTCAACAAAACCTTGAGTTGGGTCTGTTGTTGCACGCTAGGAAGGCAGGGGCTAGCCTGGTGTACATAGCAAGCTCCAGGACAGTTAGGGCTACATTGTGAGCTATCTCAAAAGGCAAAAAGGATGGAAGAAGGAAGGAGGGAAGGAGAGAAGAAAAAAAGGCATTGTAAAGCATCTTGCAAACCCAGCACTTGGGAGGTAAAGGCAAGAGAGTTATGAGTTCAAAACCATCCCCAGCTATATAGTAATGCCAGCCTCAAAAATTAAAATAGGGGCTGGTGGGATGGCTCAGCAGTTAAGAGCATTTGTTGTTCTTACAGAGGATATAGGTTCAATTCTCAGCCCACACAACCACCTGAAACTCCAATTTCTCACTCATGTAACCAAAATACACACACACACCTTTAGAATTTTAAGTAAAATAAAAGCGTCCTAGCTGGTGTGCTCTCATGCAGACAGACATAGCGTGAGAATGGATGTATTTCTGTACCTGTATTTCATTCATGTAGTCCATAATTAGCTTCTATCATACTGTGTTCATTCATCCTTACTTTTTTTTGCTTTTGTTTGTCTTTGCTTGTTTGTTTTATTTTTCAAGATAGGGTTTATCTCTCTATGGTTTTTGGAAGCTGTCCTAGAACTCGCTCTGAAGATTAAGCTGGTGTGGAACTCACAAAAATCCACCTGCCTCTGCCTCTTGCATGTTGGGATTAAAGATGTGTGCTACCAACATCTGGCTGTTGTTTTATTTTTCAAGACAGGGTTTCTTTGTGTATCCCTGGTTGTCCTGGAACTCACTGTAGACCAGACTGGTCTCAAACTCACAGAAATCCGCCTGCCTCTGCCTCCCAATTGCTGGGATTAGAGGGTTCCATTCGATCATTCATTCATGCATGCATGCATTCAAGAGTTTAGAACAGGACCCAGCATGCAGTAAAGAGCTCAATTCACAAACATCAGACATTTTTCAAAGGAATCCTAGCATTACAGAAAAAGACCTGAAAGCCCAAAAATTTGTCCTCCACCATTGCTTTATTCACTCTATGTGAGATGTGTGTGTGCTCACATGTGTTCATGCTCATGTGTCCCCCATGCCAGCCCTCTTCCTGAACAGGAATGAAAGGAGGTGAGTTAATGTCAACATAAAGCTGATCTGACCCTTCTGCCAGCAGAGGGTGCCATCATCCCACATTGCAGTGTGCTGCTATGGGGAAATAGCTCTCCTGGGCAGGGCTACTGGTGTAAGATCTTGGAGACTCTTACCAGGTGATAAAGGCTGAAGGACAACAGTTTCCAGAGGTTTGTAGGGATGCCTCAGAACACCAAAGCTGTGGTGTCACTCGGTGATACAGTACCTGCCAGCATATTCAAGGCCCCTGTGCTTGTAATAAGAGCAGAGGCCAAAGGATGTCCAATGTCCTGCTCAGTTTCTTTCTTATCTTTTCAGTCTCACTGAACCTGAAACTACTGTCAACCAGTAAGCCCCATTGATCCTCATGTCCACACACATGTTCCCCCCCCATCAACAGTGCTGGTGTTACAGGTCACAGCTGTTCTTTTTACATTTATGTGTGTGGGTGTACACATGTGAATGTACACACGTGGGTGTACCCACACACTTGCCACAGCACCCTTTTGGAGGTCAGAGGACAACTTCCAGGAATCTGTTCTCTCATCAATCATATGGAGTCAAATTCAGCTTGTCACCTTAATGTACTGATCTATCTCCCTAGTTCCCACACAAGCTATTAATAAAAAAAAAGGTAGGGTTTCTTTCTGTGCAGCCTTGGCTGGCCTGGAACTCACTCTGTAGACCAGACTGGTCTCAAATTTACAGAGATCTACCTGTCTCTGCCTCCTGAGTGTTGGGATTAAAGACTTGCACCACCACCGCCCAGCTTAAAACTTAACCTGCATGAACATATGTGTACTATGGAGGGGAACAGGTGGATCTCTGGCACCTAAAGTTGTAATTGTGAGCCACCATGTGAATAATGGGACTAGAACCTGATCTCTCCATTCTTGTATTGGTTGGGGTTTTTGTTGTTCTTTTGGGAGGGATTTTTTTGTTTTGTTTTGAGACAAGCAAGCTCTCACATAATTCATGCTTACCTCAAATTCATTATGTAGCTGAGACTGATCCTCCTGTTTTCGGGTGTGTGTGTGTGTGTGTGTAGCTCTGGGTGTCCTAGAACTCACCAGGCTGGCCTCAAACTCAAGAGACCCACCAAATAAAGGTATGCTCCACCATCACCCAGCTTGCCTTTTTTTTTTTTTTTTTTTTTTTTTTTTTTGCTTTTTTTTAAAGATTCATTTATTTATTATGTATACAATACAATGTTCTGCCTGCAGGGCAGAAGAGGGCACCAAATCTTATTACAGATGGTTGGTTGTGAGCCATCAGTGGCTGGGAATCAGTGCTCTTAACCTCTGAGCCATCTCTCCAGTCCCCTTGCCTTCACCTTTAAGTACTAGGACAACCACCTTTAAGTACTAGGACAAAACCGGCAGTTTTTGTCTTGGTTTATCTTGAGACAGTGTTGCAATCTGTAGAAGTTGTCCTCGAACTATGTAGTTCAGCCTGACCTCTCACAGCAATTTCCCTGCCTGCCCTAGCCTCCAAGTGTTGGAATTAAAGGTGTAAGCCACCACAGCCACTTTCAATGTTCAACTTTACTGACAGGGTCTCACTACATAGCCCTCCCTGGCTATACTTTTACTCAAAAACCCACCTGCCTCTGCCTCATGACTGCTGGGATTAAAAGCACATGTCACCATGCCCAGCTCTGTTATTTTGCTTCATCATTAGGCTAGGCTGGCTGGTCAGTGAGCACAAAGGATCTATCTGCCTTGTTCCCAGTAATAGGTTTACAAAAGAACATCATTGCCATAGTCATGTATGTGCTCAACTCAGGGTCTTGTTATTGGTTGGTAGGATTTATAGATTGATCTTTTTTCCCTGCCCCTGGAGAGGTGAGTATATGAAGGATGAACAGAGTGGACATCTCTGAGGCCCAGATTTTTATTCCTTTTCTTTCTTCCTTTAGTTTTGGGTTTTATGTTTTGTTTTTGGTTATTTTTGTTTGGTTTGATTTCATGAGACAGGGTTTCTCTGTGTGGCCCTGGCTGTCCTCAGACTCAGAGATCCACCTACCTCTGCCTCATAAGTGCTGCAATTAAAGGAGTGCACCACCACCTGGCTCTTTTCTTGTTGCTTGTGGTCAAATGCTTAGCAGTAGTTTAAGGCCACTATGCCTGGCATACATGGTTTTGTAACACACACTGGCCTCAAGATTTTTGGGCTCAAGTTATTCCTTAGCTTCTCATGGTCCAGAAGCACAGAAACAAGGAGTGGGCCTGGTGAATTAAGACCTGAAGGGTGACTGGGCAGTGGTGAGGCACCTTTAATCCCAGCACTCAGGAGGGAGGGCAAGTGGATCTCTGAGTTGGACACCAGCCTGGTCTGCAGAGCGAGTTCCAGGACAGGCCCCAAAGGATTACAGAGAAACCCTATCTAGAAATTCAAAAAAGACATGAAGGGTGATGCAGTCAGAGACTGGGGAGTCCAGGCAACCGGGGAGAAGAAAAAATGCCAAGGAACTTGAGTGAGGTTGGGTGGCTGGTGGAACTGAGGGGACAGCATAGAGGTCAGACAGCATAGCAAAAACATGCGAGAGGTTGCGTAGGAAGGTGCAGGCTTTATCACAGAGTAAGTGGGCAAGGGAGCAGGGACGACTTAATTTCACCAGTGGGAGGGCTGGGGATGCCCTGAGCCCTGCACAGTAATTGAACTCAGCTTCAGCACAAGGGACAGCTTGGAGAAGAGCTTCACAAGAGGTGGGGTTCAGAAGCCAGGGGACTGGATCAGGATCAGAAAGATGGCTGAGTTCCCAGTGTGGGAAAGTCCAAGGAGTTACCTAGAAAATCCCAGGGTGGTGGTGGATTGGGTTGGAAGAGGTGTTGTGTGCAGAAACTGCCTGGAAGAATTTCCTTACACTTGCCACGGGTGATCAGTGCTCAGACTGCCCTCATAAGTGAGGGTTAAGACCAGGGTTCTTGTGGCTTCAATGGAGTGCCCCCCAAACTGGTATTAGGAGTCTGGTGTGAGAAGGCAGAGTTCTGGAGTCCAAACAGGCAGGGACTAGATAATATTCTGGGTCAGAGAAAAGCTGAGAACTTTCAGAAATGTGTAATTAAGGATTCAGAACCAACAGTGAAATGGTGGTCTTAGGACCATGGATTCTGGTGGGTGCTATCGGAGTTCCTAGACCCAGTAAGATTGTTTAGCCAGCCAGTGAAGAGGTGTCCCACGACAATCTACAATGCCTAGGTGCCACAGTGGCTAGGCTGGGGAGCCACTTCTTGGGTGGTGGAGAGGCCTGGGTCAAGAAATAATAATCACTGTAGCTCCCACAATCCTGCCTCACAGCAGAAGGGAGTCCTGGCTCCTCTGCTTTCAAAATGCCCACCTCGGAGTTCTTCCAAGATACAAAGCTTTTAGACCACGTCCAAGAGGGTCTTCAATTTCAGACATCCTCCTGGCCTGCAATCCCTCTCTTGTCTTCTATTGCCACTGACCTTGCCCCACAACTCAAAATACTTAAGTACAAGTCATGCAGTCTTCCAGCTCGGAGTCCTTAAGTGATCCATTCCCTTGCCCTCAGGACAAGAGAGCTCTTGGGCTGGTATCTGGTGACCCCTGCCCACCAGTCACACTGCTCATCATTCCCTTTGTACATAATGCTTCAACCCATGCCCAAACCCAGCTCTGTTGCTCTGCCTGCTGTTATTCTGGACTATTCCTCTGCCTGGCATACTTGTCCCTCACCCCTGAATCTAACCCACCTTCTGGCTTAAACTCCCCTAGCCTGTCTTGCTTGACAACTACCTTGACTCTTGCCACCAAACTGGGCCAGGCATACTGAGGCCTGAAAGCACAAGGACTATAAACAGCAGTGCCACCACAGGTAGCATAGTACCTGAACATACACGCCTCCCAGAAAACCAAATGGCAAGTGAACAAAGCAGAAGCTAAGGGTGATACAAATGCCCACCACCCCTGTACTCAGGAGGCGGAGGTCGGTCCACAAGGCTACCCAGGGAAGTGAGACCCTGTTTTAAAAAATTAAAAAGAGGCTAGAGAGATGGCTCAGTGACTGCTCTTTTAAAGGACACAGGTTCAATTCCCAGCACCCACATGGCAGCTCACAACTGTCTGTAAGGCTAAGATCTGATACCCTCACACAAACAATCATGCAGGCAAAACTCCAATGCACATAAAATAAAATTTAAAAATTTTAAAAATTCAAAAACACACATGAAATCAGTTTATTTTGGGAAGAGTTGGGAGTGAGCTCTGTAACCAAACTTCTTTTGAACTTGGCTTACCTACAGGCCTCAGCAGGTCACATACACTATTAGACCTGACTGGATGTTTACCTGTAGAGGCCAGAAGCATTCAGTGACCCTTGGGATAGAAGCCATCAAGGGAATACTAACTGGCAGATGAGGCAGGCTGTCACAGCCCAGGGACATATGCCAAGTCTGGGGCAACACTCAAGTAGGTATAGAAGCCCTGGCTCTGCATCCCTGTTAAGAATCCAAAGGTGACCTTTAGGTCCCCTCTGACAAGTGTTTTAGCACCCTGGAGCCCAGGCCCCAACTTGTATGCTTAAATACCTTGTCATCAGAAGAAAACATGAATGACCCCTGCCTCTTCCTGATCAGACTCCTGGGTCGGCTTCCTAGGGCTGGAGAGCAACTGCCAAGAAGGTCTCCTGGCTATGCATAAATGAAGGAATATCAGCTACCTCTATGTTCGGTGGACAAGACATACTTTCCTGAAGGTAGCTTCCTACACTGATGAGTTTAGATGCACCAGGGCTGGGTGTGTGGAATCCCTTGCTGCTGGCTGTGTCCATTGAGAAATTTCAGTGTGGTTGAAGGGTGCCATCACCCAGAGCCAGTCAAGGGGAGAGCCCCTCAGGTGAGCATGCAGCTGTTGTGGTCTTCTGAGGAGTTCTAAAGGTCCTGGGCTTCAGGACCCCTCCCTCAGCCTATTACCTCACCTAAGGAACCCATGTGTTCCTTTCTTGCGCCAGAAAGATCCATCTTCATTGATGAATTCCTGCATCGAGGCAGGAGCCTGGAGTAGTGCACAGATCTGACACACTCAGGATGGCTGTAGTGTAGGTGCTTGGAAGAAAGGTGGTTGACAAGGTGAGGAGGGACCTGGGCTCTTCCCAAGAGGGCAAGTAGTAGTCTGGGTGCCCTCTATAACCTGTCTGAGCAGAGTCACAAGTGAGAAGGTCCTCTCTGGTGGAGGCACACAATTTCCCAAGGCTCTCAATGCCAAAGGAGCTTCAAGGAGCACCACTCACACAGTGCAGAACTGCACCAGCTGGCAAAGACTTCTGACAGTGACGACCACTGCCCTTGGGGACCCAGCAAGTCCTAGCCCAGCTCTTCCATGTCCACAGCACCTCCAGGCAGAACTGCAGTGGGGACCTTACCCAGCCCTCCTTGTGGTTTCCCAAATGAGTAACATCCTTACAGGAACACTCTGCTCTGCCATAAAGTGAGATCACACTTAGACCCTCAAGAAACTGGGTGCAGTGGCTCACACCTGTCACCCAAAAACTAGGAGGGCTGAGGCAGGAGGGTTGCTGCAAGTCTGAAGTCAGCCACAGTAACATAAATGATGGCCTGGAGCAGACACACCATCCAAAAAGAGAAGACATCAGAAGCCTGCAGCTGGACGCTAATAACCAGGGTCTTCCATGACCTGACACCCCAGCCCTGCCTCCTACTTAGAGACACCCAGGCCTGAGACAAGCAGTTTTGTTTTTCTTTATTTGTCTACATTCAGCGGAATTCAAATATACTGCCTGAATGATCCAGACATACCAAAAAAAACAAAAACAAACAAACAAACAAAAAAAAAAAAAACAAAAACAAACGAAAAAACAAAACAAAAAACCAAACCATTCTTTCCCACTGGTTTTTAAAATAAAATTTTCACTTATAAAACTGAAACACTAAAGCATTAAAATAAAGAAAGCTCATTTAACTCACTTCACAAAAAGCATTAACAGATGACATACCCCTTCTGCAACTATTTAAGGACACCCGATGGAACCCACACCGGGCATAAACAGACAGAGGGATACCACACGGCAAGAACTCGACCACTACTCAGACAAGGCAACTAACAAACCACTGAAGACACGGAGTCCCAAACACAGCTAAATAGGGGTCACGGCACGGGTCCCAGGGACCACCACACCTCACAGCGTGGCAACATCGGCAACATGGACGGGTGGGCACTGCGCCAGTGGACATGGCAACTGGTGATGTGCAGACTCAATCTCCCGAGACGAGTTGGAGGCAGAGGTGCAGACGGTGAGAGGGGCAGCCTGGGCCTTTATCTGTACTGGTAGTTCATGCTGTGCTCTGTGTTCCGACTGTAGCCACTTTGTGAGGACTGGTACGAGCTGGAAGGGCCGCTGTAGCTCTGGCTGGACCCAGGGGAGCTGTAGTTTGACTGTGATGAGTAGCCTCCTGCAAGATGGAGGTAGCTTAGAGGACAGAGTTCTGAGTAACAGTTACACACTACTGTACCCCAGGGTGGCAGTCCAGTGGGATCCTGCTTTGTCATTCAGGCCTATCCATCACTGCTACCCCAAGAGGTGGGACAGCTCTGCTTTTAGGGGCTGACTGACCAGAGAAAGGAGCCCCACAGCTTAGTTCAGTCCCTTTGACACAAGTGGCTCTTCAAGTATAGGTGCAACATTTAGGAGTTGTACACCTTGAGGTCTCTGGGTTCTGAAAAGACTGAGCAGGTGGTGTGGACCAGAGCCCAAGCCCAGCCCCCAAGGGAAAGCAGCAGCAGCAGTTGCCATATAGCCCCTAAGTGCCCTGCTCCTGTCAAGTCCTATGTCTCTAAAACCCCGTACCACCCCCATCGGGCCACTTGCTGTCCGGGCCCACCTTGTTTGCCTTGGTATGAAGAGCTGCCCCCAGAACCTCCGCCGTAACCCCCATGTGAGCCTGTGTTGTAGGATGACCCACTGGAGCCATAGCTGTTCCCGCCACTGCGGCCTCCACTACCACTGTAGTCTGAGGGGGGAAAAAAATCAGTGTGATTAGGGCCCGGGGCCAAGGATGGCTCAGATAGGTGAGGAGCCTTAGTGGCAAGCCCTATCACAGTCACTCTGCCCTGGCTCAGGCTTGTCACGTACTCTCAAGTCAATCTATCTCACCTTCCCACCGCCTCATTTCCCCTGGGACACAATGCTTTTATCTGCCTCCCACCCCCAGAGCTTGTTTAGTCCCCAATCCTTCTATGGCTGCTGCTCTGTCAGGACAAACTCACACCTACTCAAACCACTGGGCAATAGTGCACAAGTCCTGAGGCCAGTGCATAAAACTGGCTCACTGAGGAGCTGGATACAACATAGCCCTTGAGAAATCTACTCTGGTACCTAACATGGAGGCAGAGGCCTCATCTACACCACAAATGGATGCAGGACCTACGGCGCAGTGATGCTTCCAGATTTCTCCCTAGACTTACTGTCCCAGAGCACCTCACAGTTCCTGGCTAGAGCTGGGCTTTTGGCAATCCCCAACCAGGAAGTGGACACTGGCAACCAACTCACTGAATTTGCTGTCGTAGCTGTAGTCGGAGCCCCCACCGCCACCAGGGGAGTTGTAGGAGTTGGAGTAGGAATAGCTGCCCTGCCCGTGGCCATAGCCTTTCTGCTTGCCCTGCGGCGTGCTGTAGCTGCTGTACTGGCTCTGGCTGTAGGGTTGCTGCTGGCCCTGGTGGGACTGGTAGCCCGAGCTGTAGGAGGGTTTCTGCTGGCCCCCATGCAGCGGCTTCTTCCCAGCATGTTTCGGGGGCACTGGTGAGTTGTAGCTGTCTCCTTGGTAGTAGGAGCTGTAGCTGGACGAGCCACCACCGCCCCCGCTGCCTCCACCACCGGCATTCCCAGAATGCCCTCCATTGCTGTAGAACTGACCTAAACAGGGAAGTAGCAGATCAGGTGGAGGGTCTCAGGGTGAGGGCTGGAAGGGGAGAAAGCAGCAGTCATGGGCCCTGAAGGCTGGCCCACAGCTTACTGCTCAGAGCAGCGAGGAACAGATGGAGCACGAGGCTCTGCTGGTTGAGGCAGCCAGGCTTAAGCCAGCCCAGCCTTCAGCTCCACTCACCCTCAGCTGATGACAAGGGGTCTTTGCCAAGCAGCAGCACGACAGCAGCTTTGCAGATGTCAACATTACAATGAGATGGGCTCCGAGCGTGGATGACATTCAGGACTAGCTGACGGGCTACCCAGATGTCCCCAACGGTGACAGGAAAAGCAAAGCACCCAGAAGCAGTGAGCCACCCCCTTTCCCCTCCGTGCAGGAAATGAGCTCAACAGGCACAAGCCTTGTGGACCCCAGAAGATGCCTTGCTATGAGGTCCCTAAAACCACCATGGTTCTTCAAAGACCATGGTGTTCTTAAGACAGTGACTTGAGACTCAAGACACTTCCTCAGTGTGAAACACACACAAGGGCATAGAGTGAATCCCTAGCCTCATGAGAAGGCAAGCACAAGCTGAGGCTGAGGGTAAATGTCTGAATGGGGCCTCAGTGGCAGGACTGATGAGCTAGTACTGTGGCTGCTACAGGCTCTGGGTTTATCAACGTGCTCCCTATTGGAGACTTGGGTAGAACGACAGGAGCAGGGCAGGGCAGGGAAGGGCTGGGCTAGGCTAAGGCACTACTTCAGCCCCACTGCAGAAGGAACTTCCCACATTCAGGCTCAGGGGAAGCCAGAACATTTACTAGTGCTCAACAGGAGCCTTGGGTTCCCAGAGTAAGTGGCCTCAGCATGCAGCCTTTAGCCAAGTGGACCCCATCAGGACCCAGCCAGGCAGAATGGCGAAGGGATGCTCCCACACAGCCTGTCCCTTCCCTCTACCCACTGGTACATACACACCCATTCCCATGCTGATGCTCCCCCAGCTACTGGCACAGCACTGGGAGAGGCATTACCCTTGTGCAAGCCTTTCTTCAGACAGATATTTCCCACCCCCACCACAAAACCACAACACTGAGGAGGAGGAAGTGTCCCACAATGCAAGAAAGCAAACAAATGAAGGCTCAGTGAGGATGCTGGGAAGCCCAGGATTCCAGATCCACCCCAACCCCAGGACCTCCTCCAGGCCCCTGCCTTGGCTTCCCCAGGGTCCTATGCTGAGCGACTGAGCTGCCTGCCTGAAGCCAGGCATGAATGAAGACGCCAGTATGGAGGGCTCATTACTTTAACATGTATTCATTTAAAAAATAATAATAGTAATAAGGAAGGGTAAATTTTCAACGTCATTCAGAACTATTTCCTGGTATAAAAAGACATTATTCACAAACAATAACTTTCTAAAAAATAAAATAAAAATACATCATGCAAAGTCTTAGAAAGTTTCACTGACTTTTCAAACCTTGGGGAACAAATCACAAGGTAACCATTTTGGCCACATTTTGCCTGAATAAACGTCAAATCTTGCAAGTCAAAGTGCAGACAGATCTACAGCAAAGACTACTGAGCGGAAGCCTAACCAAAGTATCCAAGGATCCCCACCAGAAAGAAGGGGCATTGGACTTTACATACAGAAGAAATTTCTAGGTTCTTGGCAGTGTAGTCCCTGGTGGGGCCAAAGCCAGCTCTTTACTAGGAAAAAAACGAAAAGAAAAAATCTGGGGATGTTTGGGCATCTTCTATTTCAGTTTTATATAAAGGCCCATAGTGAAATAGAAAAACCCAAACACAATCCCGGAGTCCATGTGTTGACAGCTGTGATCAGGACTTGCAAAATTTCACGTTATTCTTTCCTCTCAAGCCTGTCTCAATTATTACACAAGTAACGGAAGCACAGTTTTGATGCCTTTGCAAGTTCACTCTCTTAACTAAAGCAGCCACAGAACCCCCTCACCCCAAGGACCCACCAGAGCATTTACAAAAGGTGGGAGGCCCTGCTCTACGCAGTACACAAGTCCTGGCCATCCCAGAGGTTTACATGTGCCTTAAAAAGGCAAGAAAAATTCAGCAGCTCTGGATTCAGATGTGCTAAAACAGTTTTCATCACTGCCAAAGGCATCAATCAGACGTGGAAATTTGTGAAAAGGTTAAAAATGCATACAAAACCTGCTGTAAATTAAGACAAAGGTAGATTAAAACGTGCCATTATCTGTCTCTTTAAATAAAGGAGTGCTTTCCATAAAAAGTAAAGATGGGCTTTTGCCTTGATGCTGAACAACGCTGGCTCTAGAATTCTGTGAGGCTGCACCAAAAAAAAAAAAAAAAAAAAAAAAAAAAAAAAAAAAAAGAAAAAAAGAAAAAAAAACAAAAAAAAAAAAAAAAGAAGAAGAAAAAGAATGAAAAGAAAAATCTGAGAAAAGGGTTTTTCCACTTAGTGTGAACTTCGAAATGACCAAGTTCAAAGGCAAATTCATGATAGAAACTGCCATTGTCTTAAGTCTGCAGGCTAACAGTTTCAGACAAGCTGCGGTGGAAAGCCACGGTTGAGAACCCCAGTGAAGCACAGGGACACAGCACGGACACTTTGGGTTTTGGAGTTGGAGGAAATTGGAGTAAAAAGTTGATTTTGTGTCAATACTTTTAGACGCTCTAGGAAGCCCCAAAATCATGATAGCCGTAGCAGTCTGTGAAAAAGTCACCTACAAAAGGGGGAGACAGAGCAGAGAGAAGAAATTAGAATTCTTTTGAAAAAGGGCACAGAGCGCCACATTTGAAATTCAGGTTTTAGATTTCTCTGCTCATGTGACCCCCCAATGAAGGCTCCTTCTCAAGACAAAGAGCGGTGCACGGGCAGGAAGGCGCATTCTCAAAGACCAGTGCTTAAAGCAGAGAAATTTAAAAAGCCGACTTCAAAGGAATTTAGGCAGTACACAAGGGTGTGTTAGCATTAAAGTTTGTCAAGGGCAAACTTTGGGGACAGGGACTTGAGGGTCAGCTAACCTAATCACCGCAAAAAGGTACGGCTGGTGGCTCTGAACCTCAGAGATGCTGAGGCCAGCACCCTACCCTAACTCAGACCCAGACTATGCTGCCGCAGCTTCCCAAGTGCAGACAGAGAGAACGCACACTTACTGTAGCCTGCTGTGGCTGAATTACTGCCGTACCCATAGCTTCCATATCCGGCACCTACAAGGAAGCAGACAGATTCCAGGGTAGACAGGCACCCACTCTGTACCTTCCTTCCAAGGAAAGGTATACAGTCATCCCTGTGTAGGTGACACGAAGGAGGTAACCCTCACCAGCATTCATGTAGCCTCCTCCATGGTTGGCACCACCAAATCCTCGCCCTCGTCCTCGCCCACGGACGTTGCCTCCTCGACCCCGGCCTCGAAGGTTGGGAGGTGGGGGCACCTCGTTATGCATGGGGCCTCCCATACCAAAGCCAGGATTGTGTGGCTGAAAGAGATTCACAGGAATGGGATTCACTGTACCCTCAGATCAACCAAATTGCTACCCAAGGCTAGAAGGGTCAGTTGAAATCTTACCTTGGAAGCAAATTTGGGTCCACCTCGGACAGGTACAGGGGCTCTTTTCTTTTTGTTGGCTTCAAGGGCAAGGGGGGCATCAGGAAAAAGCTTTTCTAATGCAGCAAGAGCGGCATAAGCCTTTGCCACCTTTTTGTTTGAACCAGCACCTTGAAACTTCTGTCCATCTACTTCAACCTGTGGAAAACACACTGTGTGGGGACTGAGCTAATCCAGAACCTCCTCTAGCGGGAGTGAGGGTGGCCTAGCTCAAAGCCTTTCTGGAGAGGCCCAGGCCTTTCCCAGACCCTTCTTCCCCAGGAAGCTCAGGGTTGCCTCTAGCTAGCTGATTACTCACCTCCATAACAAACCGTTTGTCGTGGCTGCCCCCAGTCTCAGAGATGAGCTCATATTTGAGGCCACGTCTCTTCTCATTAAGCTCCATTACTGGGTTCTTGCCATGCTTAGTCAATATTGGCCCCTGCTGCTTGACGTCCTCAGGGAAAACACAAAGAAAACCCACTAAATTAGACTTGAGTACCCTACCACCCAGAAGCCAAGCCCTCTCACTTGAGCCCCTAACTGGACCTGGGCCATCCCATGTGTATGCCAGCTGTTATGTCTCAGTGATACAATTAACTCCACCACACAGTTCTGGGCCCCTGAGTACAGGTTCCAGGTTCCACAACTCCTACAGCTCCCTTTGTAGGTGACTAGCTATTAAGATCTGGCAGATGCATACAAACTTTTGACATTGCAAAACATAACTATATACCAAGCTCATACAGGGACTAGCAAGATGGCTCAATGGGTAAAGACACTTGCCACTAAGCCTGATGGTACCAGTCTCTGGAACCCATACAATAAAAACAGACTTCCAGAAGTCATACTGTGACCACTAAATACATGTGCTATGGTGCTCATGTCCTCAAGTGTATATGCACACACAATAACGAAAATAAAAAAGTGATAATAAAATGGAATTGCCATGGGGCTTATTATATTAAGGGGGGAGGGATCCAGGAACTAAAGAGATGGCGCCATGGTTAAAAGTACTGGGGGCGCCGGTCAGTGATGGTGCACACCTTTAATCCAGCACTCAGGAGGCAGAGGCAGGTGGATCTGAGAGTTCAAGACCAGGCTGGTCTACAAAAGCCTCAGAGAAAGCCTGTCTCGAAAACAAAACAAAACAAAAAAAGTACTGGTGGCTCTCTCAGAACATGGATTCAGCTCCTAGAATTCACATGGTGGCTAACAACCTTTTGCTTTTTTTGTGGGTTTTTTGTTTGTTATTTGGTTGGTTGGTTGGTTGGTTGGCTTGAGATTGTTTCTCTGTGTAACAGCTCTGGCTGTCCTGGGACTTGCTCTGTAGACCAGGCTAACCTGAGTGCTAGGATTAAAGCTTGTGCCACCATCAATCACACAGCCTTTACAACCTTTTTTAACTCATTCTGTGCACACATGTGTTGCAGAGATACACACAGACAAAAGACACACATATAAAACAGATAAAATGGGGGGGGGGGGGGGGAGAAACAATTTCAAACTTCAAAATCATGCACCCAACCAGTGACCCAAAAAAAAAGCAACATCATCATCAAAGAAAAAAAAAAAATGCAAAACAATCTCAGAATGTCTGAAGTGATTTCAGGATTTCATGCTGGGCCACAAGTTGAACATGCCTGGCTCTGCTCTGCATGTAAGGACTAATGAGTACATGCTCTGCCCTTGCACTATCATCCACCATGCATGCAGTACCATTCCCAGCACCCACCACAGGCTCACCTCAGTAGTGGCATCTGAAGGGAAGACAGAACTAGGGTTGGAGACAGCTTCTACCACAGGGGGTGGGGCCACTACTGCTGGCTTCCCGTCTGACTCCTCAGCTGAGTCCTCCCCCTTGCTGGAGTCTCTGCCTTCAGCGCCTGTTGGCAAGCCCATGTCCTGTAACACCTGTGGAGCAGACAGACCCAGGGATCAGATGACAGGCTTTCAAGGAAATCACCTACAAAGGTGTTTTACATACCCCACAGAGCTTTCTGAGGATAACCTGCAGCACAATCTTAGCTACCTGCAAAGGTTTTCACCCCCTTTTAGTTTCTCAGGTTGCCTCTGTAGGTGTGACATGTGATCATGTGTCAAAGGCTCAAAAATCTAAACACCTCTGTGTTTCTATACCCTTTCTGAAATGCACACTGTCAGCCTGCAAACTGAGGCCAATGTGGGAAGTGCATTTTTTGTTTTGAAAGAGTATCTACCTACACTTACCTTTACAGCTACATGTAGTTTGGCGGTCTTTTTAGATGGCCCTGAGGCCTCGAAGGTACTGCCATCTACCTCCACAGCCATGGTGAAGATGGGGGCATGAACAGGACCTGTCTGGGAGATCAGCTTGTACTGCAGCCCGGGCTTCAGCTGGTTTAGCCTCATCAGGGCATTCATAGCTTGGGGAGGCTCGGCTTTCTCCTCTAAGAAGACAACAAGGCAAAATGGAATGAAAACTCCTAGAGCCTAGAAAAGCCAAAGCCTGGCACATAATCTGGCCTGAGCCTCTCCTGCAGCCAGTGGAGGTACAACTAACTGACCATGGAACCCACTCACTGCACCTATCCCAGTTACTAGTTTTAGGGGAAGTGGTGTGATGAGAAGGTCCCTCTCACTCCGTACCTCAGTGTAGACTTGAGGTCACAGCAATTCTCTTACTTAGTCCCATGAATTCTGGGATTACAGATGGGAGCCACCAGACTCAGACATTAGGTTCTTACACTACTTAAATATAGGGCAGCCTAGTCTACACAGCCAGTTAAAAGACAACTAGAGCTACATAACAACAGAGAATGTCTCAAAAACAAAAAAAAAAAAAAAAAAAAAAAAAAAAAAAAAAACTGGGCTGGGAAGGAGGCCAAAGAACCTACTGTGAACACTGATAGTTCAGGGTTATGAGAACTCATATAAAGAACCTACTGTGAGAACTTGTATAAAACAAGGGGGAAGGCAAGGACAGACCCCAGGTCGTTCTTTAACATCACTGTGAATAACAAGGCATATGCACATCCATACCAACACAAGTTCTTTTTAAACATATAGGTTCTTAAAAAAAACAGAACAGCACACTCATTAGTTCCAGACACACAGTAACTAGGCCAGATGGAGGAAAGGGGGTACCAGCCAGGGCACATTCCTACCTTTCTTCTGGATCTTTTTCTTCTTTTTGCTGGGAGACTTCTCCTCCCCATCCTCTTCCATAGGGCGCTTCATGGGTGTGATGGCATAGGTGGTGCTGGGGGGGATTTGAACTGAAAGGAGACCAAGTACAAGCAGGTGAGACAGGCAAACAGCACTCTGGAGAGAGCCCTGTCCTCGATGCCCATATGTCCTTACCAGTGTAGTCCACTGGGTTCTCGTTCTTTGGTTTCTTGGGCATTTTGGAAGGCAGGGGGTCCATTCCTAGGACTTTATGGAGTTGACCAAAAGCAGCGAGCCGCAAAGCATGCTAGAGAAGGGGAAGAAGAGTCTGACTTGGTTGCCTCATGCCACCTGACCGTATATCTGCTCTCACTAATGCCTTCTGAAATAGGGTGGGAGCTGGGGGGCGGGGCAGGGCGATGCTAATATTCTCCCCTAGGTCAGTCAACAAGGAGTCCCCTGACAGCCAGGGCAGGGCCTGACAGTTCTGGCCCAGCCTTGCTGTGGGGGAGTGCCAGCCTGTGACCACCCCCCGTCAAGATGAGTACAGGAGACCCCAACCTGGGGGCTGGTTGCCACATGGAGACGGGTGGTAGACCTGCAGGGGAGGAGCCCCAGAGCAGTTCTCCAAGCAAAGCAACGGCCCACTTCCCTTGCTATGCCAACATGGCAGTCCAGCAGGGTGAGAGGCAAACAATAATCACACGTGGTACCAGAACAAAGACGACCAGATTGGGGCTCCCTGTATCAGACATGATGCCTTTGCCTTGGTACCCAACCTGAGCCTATGATCCAGGGGCTGCCCTTCAAATGCCCAGTAATGGAACTGGGAGCCAGTGAGTGCAGACTGGGTAAGGGCTCATGTTGGCAATGGTGACAACTATACCTGCGCACTCTGTGTGATATCTTCCCGTTGCTGTCTGTCTAGATGCCCAATAGCATCAGTGGCTTCTTTTTCACAAGGGTCATAAATGCCAGAACCATCTGAAGGCAGGAAACAAGGAAGATATGCAGAGGATTATCCCTTGTCATCTCATAAGAGTTGCTGGCTGAGGGAACCAGGTGTATTACCCCCCCGCACCCCATCCACACCCAGCTCTGGAAAACACACCGAGCTCGGTGACCCACTCGACATCCAGCCCTTGACAGAAATAAATCACGTGTCTCAGAGCAAGAAAGTCACATGGGAGTGGGTCACCACTGGCCCTGGGTCCGCCCTGATTCATGGCTTCGGACCCGGCACAGGGCTGGATATGATGGTGCAAGAGGGTAGTCACGTGCTTTGGCCCTAGCAGAGGGGACATGGAGCTGCTGTATCCCTAATCCAGTCAGTGGACCAGTGAGGCAGTGGCTGTTAGGACTTTATCCCTGTCCTTTTCCCTATCCCTTGAAAATCACAAGGCCCCAACCTGGCATTACGATGCCGGATGCAAGGCACTCCAGCACTCTTCGAAGGGCTTCGCCAGCACCCATTGGCCTATTGGCAGTGCCGATGGACTTCTCACATAGCAGCTCCAGAGGCTAAAAGGCAAGAGGGACAATGAGCTTTCAGCTACAGAAGCCCTACCCCAGGAAGCCCTATCACTGTGTTAGAGGGGTTAGGGATCCTGAGACTAAAGCCAGGCAATGAGGTCAAAGGCCAACATTAGCTATCTAGGCAGGGGGCTAACAGACTTTCCTAAAGGCAGGATGGACCTAGGACAACTCTGAGGACTTAAGTGGGCAATTAGGCTTAAACTGTAACCATTTCAAAAGGACGTTCTTAATAATGGGCTGTTAAGAAACAGGCAGCTTGGCTGGGCAGTGGTGGCACACACCTTTGTCCCAGCACTTGAGAGGCAGAGGCAGGCGGATCTCTTTGAGTTCGAACCTATAAGAGCTAGTTCCAGGACAGACCAAAGCCACAGAGAGACTCTGTCTTGAAAAGCAAGAGAGCTGGGGGGGGGGGGGGGGGGGGGCGGACCGGGACGACAACGACAGGTAGCGTAAAAAATAAATTGAATAAATAATAAAAAAAAATAATCAAAAGAAAGAAGAGGCCTCAGGCCCTGGATAGCAAGCTGTGCAAGAGCCTCTGCACACCTATCCTGTGTGACTAGTCACAGGCGTTCCCACCTCCTTTCTCAACTATGGCCGCACACACCCACAAAGAAGGCCTAGTCCTTGCTTCCACCCCAACCCAGGGTCTGATGGATCACACGAGCCACCCAAGCCAACAACCTCCAAGCTCTCTATATGAAGGCCATGCTCTGAAAGGGTCTGCCTAGATAAACACTAACCCCACCCCTAGTCATAAGGTGCCTTACCCATCCTCTGAGGGGACCCCAGGAGGGCACTCGGGTACACAAGTCCCTTAGGACACGGATGACAATGACGCAAGACTTCAGCCCATTGGCTCTGGCCTACAGAAAGAAAGCATAGGCTCTTCACACCCAGGGCATCACAGAGGACAGCAGGCAAACATGAACAACTTGAGTCTCATGGTGCTGCTTTGCCAAGGGTAAATGGTTGCAGGGGTGCAGAGCCACCAAGTGTGTGTGGCCAGTGCTGAGCTCCCTGCCTGGGTGGAAGCCTGTTACTCTTACTGCAAAGCAGCCCACTGCTCAGCATGAGCCTCCTCAGGGCTGGCAAGTCAAATTGATTTAGGCGCCTCCTTTAGCAGCTGCACGCCACAGGTGCTAACAAGATTGACACAGCTACAATGTTATGGACACTTTATGGTCAAAGTTAGCCATGTTGTAAAACTTAGGCATTCTCTACCAAAAGACAAAGAGAAGAACAAAATGCAAACCTGGAACCACTTGGCGTGTCGGAGGGACGCCAAGGCAGCAAGGCATTTCTGCCTGTCCAGAACGTCCGGGGGGTCGTTGACTGATAGCGTTTCTATTCATGGATGGAATAAGAAGACAAGGCACAGTTTGACCAAGGGGTTCTGTCAGGTGCAAAGGGGATGTGGCAGCTTCCTAAAGGGCAGCTGAGCCTCCCACAATCTCAATTTGTGTCCACCCTGGACAGGGAAGGAGAGGCTAAAGTGCCACCAGCTCTGCTCTGAGAGGAAGTTAAAAAACAAAAAACAAAAAACAAAAAACAAAAAACAACAACAAAAAACCTGGGAGGCCCTCTCCAAAATTTAAACCTCAGAAACAAAAACCAAAATCAAAAAAAGAAGTTACTCTAGAAGGCACAAAGTGGGGAAGGGAAAAGATAGGCTGACCCTATCTTCTAATAGGCCCGTTCCCTTGCTTTTTCCCCATAAATTAGCTAGGCTGGATTTACAACAATAAGAAAAACAAAACAAAAAACAAAAACAAAAAAAAGAGGCGGGGGGGAGTGGAAATGAACTCCCTCTCTGCTTCTCACAAACAGGTATCCACCTGTAGCACAGGGGACCACCTCCGCCCACCAGGCGGGACTGCCCTAGCCCCAGGCCTTGACAGAGAGAGTCCTGTTGGTCAAAGGTCCAGCGTCCCTGAGTGGATAAGCTAAGAGGGCTTTGATCATTGGTATCAGATACGTGTGCCAAAGGGAAATTAACAAGTCAGCCTGCACCACAGTACAACTAGGCTGTTGTTTGACTCTGCCAGCTATCAGGGATTTGGATAAGGCCTGACAGCAGGCCCAGGAGGGCTGCAGGGAGACCATGAATTGTGGAATGAAGTATTAGCTTAGCATCTGAAGTGCCAAAACTGGGCTGGAAGACAGCACAATGGTTTAAAACCTTATCCAAAACTCTGCTGCAGCTCCTGGCCTCTCTAAAGCTCATAGAGTGCCACAGGCAGAGGCCAAATGAAAATAGCAGGCTGTGCCGCAGGGCCAGCAGCCGATCACTACTCCTACGTGCCATTCATACCATTCATATAGAAGCCATCTGGTTGCTACTAACCACTGCAACACTGGAAGATTCCTGGGGACACACTTTTTTTTTTTTAAATAGAGGGAAACAAGTTTAACAAGGAGCTTCAAGACCATTCAAGGAGTATGAGAAACAAAATGGTACTCTCCCTATGCAAAGTGCTACTCACTTTTAGTGCCACATTTGGGTCAAACTCCCAAGAACACAAGCCTTGGGAGACATGAATTTAGAGTAAAGTCAGTCAGAGTACACTGACATCCTCTAATCAAAGCACTCTAAAACTGAATAGCACATTTGAGCAAGAGGGAACACCAAGTCTGTAATGTTCTGCTGGCCTCCCTACCTCCAGATAATACTTTCTCCATTTCTTCTCTGACAACAGGGGAGGTCAGGTGGATGGTCAAGGACAAGGGGGGCTCTTTTGTGTTTTTTATCACAATCGCAGCATCATCCACAGACTGGAGTATTTCGTACTTGTCTTCTGTTACAGTCTGGAGGAGGAAAAGAAGGTAGCTTTCAAAACACTTTCTCTCTGTAAGGCAATCAACTAAGACTCCACTGGGTCAGAGAAGCTATTTCTACCAGGAACGTTAAATGTAAAGAGTCAGGTGTGGTGGCTCATCCCTATAATCCCAGCAGTTAAAGAGCCTAAGCCAAGATAATGAGCTCAAAGCTAACACAAACCACAGAACAAGACTATCTCAAGGGCAGGGGTGAAAAGAGCCAGTACAATGGTAGCCATTCCAGTGAGTTGGAGAACTGAAGGTGGATCGTGATTAGAGCAAGCCTGGGCAGAATAAAGACACTAACAACAATCAATGTTAATTTAAAAAACAAACCAAAAAAAAAAAAAAAAGAAAGAAAGAAAAGTCCCAAATGCAATTCAAGCCTGGGCATCAGGGTACATGCCTGAAATCCCAGTACCCTGAAGATAGAAGCAAGAGTACACTGCTGTTTGAGACCAACCTGATCTTCAAAGCAAGCTCAAAGCAAGCCACAGATACACAATAAAATCTGGTGTAAAAATAAATACATGCAAAAGCTGGTCAGCCAGGGAGGCAAATGACTATATCCCTAACACTCAGGATGCTGAGGCAGGAGACTGCCAGTCTGAGATACAAGGGAGATCGAATCTATCTGGAAAAAAACCAATCTTCTTTCTCATTAAAAACGGAAAAAGGATTTACTTTATTTAATTATTTATTATGTTTATACTGTTCTGCCTGCATATACCACTCCAGGTCAGAAGATGACACCAGATCTCATTATAGATGGTTATAAGCCATCAGGTGGTTGCTGGTAATTGAACTCTGCACCTCTGGAAGAGCTGACATCACTCTTAACCACTGAGCCATCTCTCCAGACCCTTCTTTCCCATTTTTTGAGACAGGCTCTTCTTGCCCAGTGGCTCTCCTGCCTTAGCCTCAGTGATGGCTCAAGCCTGGGGCTTCTGATTTCTAACATGGATCTAAAATGAATACACTTCAAGGCTGTAGAACAAAGCTCATGTCATTCAGACACTGTGTGGGAAGCCCAGTGCCCATGGAACAAGTTCCATGCTGGGAGAAGCAGGCAGCAGACAACATAGAAGAGAAGCACATGCACTATTCCAGTCTATAGCCAATGATAGACACAGGAGCACTTGCAACCTGCAGAACAGGTCTACAGGATACTCAACAGTCCAGCCTCAACCTCTTTATAAGCTAGTTTATTTACTGGGAAAAAAATCCAGTTTCTTAAACTATTTTTATTAAAAGAAGTAAAGTGGGGCCTTTAACCCTGGCACTTGGGAGGCAGGGGTAGGTGGATCTCTATGATGAGTTCAAGGCCAGCCTGGTCTGCAGAACTTTCCAGGGCAGCCAGGGCTACACAGAGCCCTCAAAAAAGGAAAGTGTATACATTGTAAGAGGACATGTGCCCTGGAAATTGACATGCAGATTTCTTGACCACAGCATGGCTCAGTAATTCTTGCTGAGAGGTGGCTGTCCTATATCATACAGGGTGTTCAAAATATCCCTGGCAACCACTCACTATGGGAAGAAGCACATCACTTTCTATCTCCAGATGGCCAAAAGTCCCCAGGGAAGGTGGAGATGTTGGCTGTAAAGAACCACCGACACAATAAGCACAGCCTTGTATACACACTAGGGATGGACTGGGCAGGCTCAAAAACACGGCTATATGTATGCACAAGTTGTGAGGCATCCACCATATCCATTACTACCCTAGAGAACAGAACACAAAGCTCTTTCTTTCGAAGTATTTACCAATGTGCTCCACAGATCAATCTTTAAAGGGGATAATAGAAATCATGAAATCAATCACAGCTACAAGAAACCACGAGGATATGACCCTCAGTAGTTCCTCTCAAGTTTCTAACATTCTGCACTTCACATCTCAATTCACATCACTCTCTTAAGCATGTACCCAAAAGCCTTATATTATTTAATGTTTATTGTCATACAAAGTTATTTTTCTTTGCAAAGTAACAATACTTAAAACCAACTTTGAATTTCTTATGCTTACTTTTAAATTAAATTTAGGAAAACTTTTCTGGAGACACAGAATACTACAGTAAAGTAGCTCTGCTGTCTCTGGCTGACCTCTCTAGGTTTCCCAGCTCCTAAATGTCCTATCACCCTTATCACTCAGAGATGTATGAGATTGGCCACCACAAGTGGCCAACGAGATCCACTCCTATAATCCTAGCATTCTAGAGGCAGGAAGATAAAGATGCCAAGGCCAGCCTGGGCTATATGAGACTCCTAAGTTAGAGAAGGGAGGGTGGGTCAAAATGGACAGACTCTCAAAGTGGGTGGGAAGAGGGGAGAAGATATATATATATATATATATATATATATCTGACCTGGGGTCTGGCTCAGTAAATGCCACTACTTATGCACATTTTAGTAACAGAAGAAATGATCGAGGTATTTTTTTGTTTTTTTGAGTCAGGGTCTTAACTCTGTAGCCCAGGCTGGCTATAAATAGCATAATCTTCCTGACTCAGCCTCCTAAACGCTGGGATTACAGGTATAAGCTACCATGAGCATACTGTTTTCCTCTTTCTTTCTCTGAACTCTACTACTGAGCTCCAGCTGCAGCCAGGTGAGTGGACTTTCAAGTATATCCAGGTCTGGCCCATTAAGAGTTAATACCCTTCCTTCCTACACATGATATTTCTAGCCCAATAGTCCAGGCTTCACACATGAGGGCACAAGGCTTTTGCTAACTAGCAGACTGGGCACCACTGTAAACAGCAGGCTATTTCCCACTGACCCTCAATGGCTACCTGCCATGAGTGACCTGCTTGTTTTCAAGATGAGCACAGGTGCTCACTGGCACATGGCACAGATGGGCCCTCTCTTCCTCTGACCATCTTCTCCACAAGCACTAGGACCCCCTCTGGGGTGGTGGTGGTGGTGACTCACAGTGAGCTGGATGGCCAGGTTGTCAGCCACCTTGTCCAGAAGGGTGGTTGTGGGCTTCTCCTTACAGAGTAGAACCAGCTCCAGATCCAAGTCCCCCTTGAGCAGAAGACCCTTGGCTACCAGGCCGACCCGCATCACGCCCCTCAGGGTCCTAGTCATGTGTTCCGCCTTCTGTTCCCTGAGAGACAGACAAAAGTCGGGCTCAATGGGAAGCCAACCTAGCCACAAACCAGAGAGACTGGCGCTTCTTAAAAGAGATTCTAACTTAGCTGTGCCACATGGTGTCACAGGCCTGTAATCCCAGCACTCAGGAGGCACAAGGACCTCTGTGATTTTGATGCTACTTTGGGCTACAAAATAAGTTGAAGGTCAGCATGGGCTATCTTGTGAGATCCTGCCACAAAACAAACAAACAAACAAAATAAAACAAAACCAAAACCAAAAAAAAAACACTAGAAGAACTAGGCAAGGGACAGGCAGGAGGCATTAAGAATTCAAGGGCAGGCTTTGATAGATAGTGAGGTAGGAAGTCTGGGCTGCCTGAAAAGGCCTGAGCCTTTCTACACACACACACACACACACACACACACACACATATGCATGCACACACATATGGGGGGGGGTGGCCAGAGAGAGAGAGAGAGAGAACCTGAGACTCACCCAGCCCCTTCTTTGCTCTCATCATCTGGGGGCGTGTCCATATTTTCTGCCTCAGCAAGCTCGCTGCTGCCCTTCTCCTGCTCATCAATCCAGTCAGAAACAGCCTTGAGGGCCCGCTCAGTGTGAGATACCATATTCTGCACAGCCTCCAGCTCCTCTTGCGTTGGGTACACGGAAGAATGTTTTGCCATCACATGGCGATCATCATTCACAAAAATTCTCATGGGACGCTGGAAATGCGAAAACTACACTAAAAATGATGCAAGGACAGCCAGCAGCCCACCCCTCACCACTTAGTACCATTCCATCTTTCACAGAAGATAGACTACGGGAATGTGGCCCAGGACCTTAGAGGAGACTCTCTCCATGAAGCAGCAGAAATGGGGCACTTAACATATCGCTCGCTATACTACAGTAGTCCCCCCTTATCCGCGGGGTACACATTCCAAGACCCCAATGGATGCCTTAAACCGCGGATAGCACCAAAATCAAAAAATGGTCTGGGTTTACTTCTACGCACATAGGTATGGTAGTTTAATTGGTCAGTCAGGCACAGGAAGGGCTTAGACAGGACGCAATGTGAATATGGTCTCTCTCCAAGTAGCTGATCATCCTACTCACCCTTCTTCTTCTTGTGATGAAGTGATGATGATACAATGCCTACGTGATGAGATGAAGTGAGGTGAATGACGCAGGCATCAGGACGACGCACAATTTAAAACTTAGCAATTTTTTCTTTCTGGAAATTTCCACTTAATATTTTCAGACCGCGGTGGACCGCAGGTAACTGAATCCGCGGGAAGCAAGAGCACGGCTAAGGGGAGACTACTGTATTCACATCTGACACGTAATTATTTAAGAGAATTCAAAATGTCTAAGACAAAAAGCTAACACAGCATCAAATGCTTTGGGGACATGCTATGGGCCATCTTTGTATATAAGTAGAGAAATAATGTCTATGAGCAAAGAAAAAAACTGTCTTACCATTTTTCCTTTTTTCTTGTAGTGTCTGGAAATCAGTCTTGGCTTATCTTTTCAAATTGTGACAGCTTTCCTTGGTGTTACCAATACTTCAACTATCTATAAGACCAGAAAACCTTTTTAGTTGTAAATACCCCAGAGACAGATTATCTCAGAAGCCATATACTAGGTAGTAAAGGTGAAGTACTGGCTCACAAGGATCCTGCTCACAGCAGGACACATCTGTCTTCCCAGGTAGCCAAGCCAAGGCACCAAACAACTCACTCCAATTTCCCTTCATACAAAAACAGCAGGCTTCCAGAAGATCTATCTGAATCGAGCCACACACTGAAGAGCTTTGTTTCTGTTTCATTTCATCCTATATAGCATGTACCTGGAGGAAGGGGGAATAGTAGAGGGAGGTGACAGGGTTTTATGCAACCCAGGCACCTCCCAAGTGCTAAGACTACAGGTGTACACCATCAAGCCTAGCGTGGCCTCTTTTGCAATTCTAGAACAGGAACTCATATGGGCATATGCTCTACCACTGACTATAACCCTCAGTCCTAAGTGCAAGTATGTGGTACATGCACACAAATCTTTGTAGGCACACATGAAGGACAGAGAAGGCTTTAAGTGTTCTGCTCTATAACTCCCCACTTTATCCCCTTGCAACAGAGCCTCTCACCAAACCTAAAGCTATGTTAGCACCCAGAAAGCCCCTAGTGATCCTCCTATCTCTGCCCCACCCACAGCACTAGGGTTACATTTTTCATGAGGCTATGTCCAGCTTTTTATAGGACACTAGGAAGTCTAACTCAGGTCTTCATGCTTGTGCAGCAAGCATTCCTACCCATCAGACCATCTCCCCAATCCCATGGTTAGTTTTTTCAAGGTAAAATTACCTGTAGCTCAAGGTGGCCTTAAATTTTGCTACACAAGAGATGACCTTCAATTCCTGATTCTCCACTAGCCCTACCTTCAAGTGATAGATTATAGGCACTTTAAATGCCTATAAAGTCTGTAGTTCTGAATTCAACCACAGAGACTCATATGACCTAAGCACATGCTCATTTCACTAGCTATACTCCAACAACAAGCACATGCTGTGCTTTATAAATGAACTAGATCGAGAGGTAAAGCAGGGGTTGTTCAGAAGTTGAGCATGTGCTTACACACTGCAAGCATTGGGTGTTATCCCCAGCACTAAAAATGAAAGTTCAAAACAAAGAAAGCTGGGCATAGTGGCACACATAAGTGATCCAGGCAGGGTATCTGGAGTTCAAGGCCAGAATGAGTTACACAACATACTGGCAAAAAAAAAAAAAAAAAAAAAAAAAACAAAGAGGAGGAGGGCTGGAAAGATGGACTGATGGGTTGCCACCAAACCCGAGGACCAGAGTTTAAATCCTAGGACCCACACAGTGGAAGGACAGATCCAAGTTGTACCCTGACCACAAGTGTGCCATAGCACATTCCTCCCCTGTACAAATAAAAGATTTTAAGGACTGGAGATATGACTCAGCACTGTGTTCTTCCAGAGGTCCTGAGTTCAACTGCCAGCAACCACATGGTGGCTCACAACCATCTATAATGAGATCTGATGACCTCTTCTGGTCTGCAGGGATACATAACATAGAGGAAGAAACTGTATACATAATAAATCAATCTAAGAAAAATTATTTTTGAAAAACCAGCCAGGTGATGGTAGCACACACCTTTAATCCCAGCACACAGGAGGCAAAGGCAGGTGGATCTCTGTGAGTTTGAGGCCAACCTGATCTACAGAGTGAATTCCAGGACAGTCAGGATTACTACACAAAGAAACCCTGTCTCCAAACAAAAACTGTTTGTTAGAAACAAACTTGTTAGTACTCCCGGTAGCCCCTGTATTCAGAGTAAGGGGTGAAAAGTTGAGGCCAGCCTACACTACACAGCAAGACTCTATCTCAATAAATAGACAGGGCAGGGGATGGACTAGTGGGTAAAGGCACTTGCTAAGCAAGCATGAGCAGAGGTTGAATTCCCAACACTCATGCAACAAAATCTAAAACCCCAGCATTATGTGGGTCAGAGCAGGAGGATGCCTGAAGCTTTCTGCTGACAGCCTAACACCAGATTCAGTGAGTGAGCCTGTGTTAAAAGACTAAGATCTCCAGAGAGACAGAGCAGGACACACACCATTCTCCTCTGGCCTCCTACACACACACACACACACACACACACACACACACACAGAGAGAGAGAGAGAGAGAGAGAGAGAGAGAGAGAGAAATCAAACACAAACATGCACAAGCACACACATCCATATACAAATAGACCAAACTATCAACTCTAGGTGTTTGGAGAAGAAAAAAAAGAAGGTAGGAACTCTGATCCATAAAGACACGACAGTACAGACAAAATGTCCTAAAGAGCTCTGTCACATGGAAAAGCAAGGAGAGTGCTCAGCCTTGTTTGCAGTGGACCCAGATTATTAGATTATTACAGACTCATAACCAGTCCAAGTGCTAACTAAAGATAAGTGATTACATCTATTCACTCGCTCCAAGATCTCAGAAACGTAGCAGAAGCAAGGGCAGAGGCTATTAAGAGCTAAAGATGTGGTAGATGCTGTGAAAGCATGTCTTCTGGATGGCATGGCCACTGCACTCATGAACTCACAGTAGCTATAGCTAATGCACAAGATCTATACTATGTAGAGTGTGCCATCATTTTAGTATGGATGAAAAAGGAGCTTATAAAGCCCCACCCACCCTTGCTGAGAAGCTCTTGGTAGTTAATAGTTACTGAGGGAGACAGTCATTCTCTTCAGTGCTGCAGCCATTGTTAAGTGCTCCAATATGGAACAACCCCCACCACAACCACCTATATACGCTTATACAAGCAACTCTAATTAAAGATATTGGGTTACAAAACAACAAACAACCTGGTGCAAGAGGGGACTTGCTGAAAGGAATTCAGCAGGAATATGAAAGGTGATGGGGGATGAGATGAGATAATCAAAATCTATTATACACATGTACAGAATTTTGGAAAAAATATTTCTAAAAGGAGGAGTCAGCAGGAGGGCTCAGGGGGGTAAGAGTACTGACAATCCATTCCTCTGAACCTCCTCAGGCATGTCATAGCAAGTGCCAGCCCCCAAACCAAAAAAAATTAAAGTAACTAAAAGACAAAGTAACATTTGAAAAAACTAAAAGGTAAAAACAAGTGCAGGTAGATACAACCATGGACTGCACTTTGGAAAAGCTAAGATACCCAAATGTGAAACACAAGTCTGCAGGGAAGACTTGAACACCAACTCTCTAAGCAACATGCAAACTACCACCTACTCACTCCCATGTCCGATTAACAGCCCATCCAGCCTGCAATTGTACACCAGTCACCGCTGAGCCCCTCCACAGCACTCTGCTCCCTCACACCCTCCAGCCAAACTGTTACAACAACTCTCAAAAGGGATAAGCTGCAAGGACAAACTGCTAAGACTGGCAAAAAGACATTCCCAAAGGACTTCAGAAGTGCCTACCAAACACTGTCAAGTGAGAAAGGTAAAAGAACACCACAGTGGTAGCTGACAGAGTGCTACAGAGGTGGCCAACAGGAAGAGGGGAGAAAGGCTTCCTAGCAGAGCAGTGGGAGGAGAGGGAGAATGCAGGGGTGTGGGTGCTAAGAGGTAGATCAAGCCTAGGCTATAAGTGCTCCTAAGCAGGTGTATACAGATGGCAGAGGCCCTCTGAGTTGGAAGTTGCCTGTCTGGCTTCCTATGGGGCTTCCCTCTTAACCTGAAGCACAGAGGGGCCTCTGCATAATACCCCCCAAAACTAAGCAGATCGGCCTACTAAGCCATGAAGCCCAAGTCCCTCTGACCCCCTAAATTGACAGCAGCTCCTACTCCCAACAGATGTCACCAGCTGATCCAGGCTCTTTCCATGTCAACAAAGATATTGGAACTCAACTAGAAGTCAACTATACATAGCTGTGTTGGAAAAGGGTGCCTATGTACACCTATAATTTCAGCACTTGGGAAGTAGAGGCAGGACTGGGATCAGGGTCCTATTCAAGAAAGGCCTCTGAAAAACCAATACTTGAGAGCTGGACAGACAGCTCTGTGATTAAGAGCACTCACTGACTGCTCTTGTAGAGTTCAACCCCCAGCATCCATAATGAGCAAGTTAGCCAGGTAGACTGGCACACACCTTTAATCTCAGCACTCAGGAGGCAGAGGCAGGGGGATCTCTGAGTTTGAAGCCAGTCTGATCTACATAGCAGACAGTCAGGGCTATGTCTCAAAAACAAAACAAAAGACTCAAGTTCAGCTCTCAATATCCACATGAGGCAGCTCACACTCTACTTCCTCTTCTCCCTCCAATTTCAGGTGTTTTGACATCCCTCTTATGAACTCCACAGTATCTGCACACAGATACACATACTAAAACATAGATACACAAATAAATATAGTGCATGCCTTTAATCCCAGCACTCAGGAGGCAGGGGCAGGTGAATCTCTGAGTTCAAGGTCAGCCTGGTTTATATAGAGAGTTCCAAGACAGGCTCCAAAAGCTACAAAAAAAAAAAAAAAAAAAAAAGGATCTTGATGCCTTGAGCATACATGGCTAAAATCAGCACATGCCTGTTGTTTCCCAGAAATATTCCAGGGAGAACACACAAAAAGATAAGTAAAACTCCAAGGCGATAGC